CAGCTCCATTTAATTGAATAAGTTAAAAAACGATAAAGGTAGTGATATTTCACCGACAAGTTGTCCCACCCACTTATTTTACATCCTTTATCTTTACACAATGTCAAACTAGAGTCAAGCTCAACAGTATCTTTTTTCTCCGCTGATTTTGCAAGTCCGTTTTCTTGACTGTGGTTCCACTAGATAGTAGGTAGGAACAGTGGAATTCTCGTTAATTCATTTATGCGTGTTACTAATTAGATAACAAAGCATTCTACCTTAAGCGAGTCATAGTTACTCCGTCGTTTAACTGCGCTTTGTTAAATTTCTTCACGTCATGGAATCACATTGCATCAACACCACTTTTCTGGCCATCGCAATACTATATTTAATTAGACAGTCAGATTCCCTTTGTCCATGCCAGTTCTAAGTTGATGTTAAGCGTACACTGAAAGAACACTTAAGTGCACAAGCCAAGACCTTCCAAATCGAACGCGCAAGCTTTCAACCATGAGATCGGCATCAAGGAACTTCTAATCCTTCAAATCAAGTTCCAATATACTCAACTCTTAGAGCCAATCAATTTCCCGAAGTTACGGATCTAACTCGCCGACTTCTCTTACCCACATTATTTTAACAACGAGAAGCTGTTCACCATGGAGACCTGTTGCGGATATAAGTACGACCTGGCGTGAAAATACAATTTTCTCTTAGTTTTTCAAGGGTCATCGGAAGTATGTTGGACCCGACATAAGTGTCAAGCTCTTCCCATTAATAAGCCGTATTTCTGGTTAATCCGAAATTCTAAGGTTTAATAAATGGTTAAAAAGAAGAGAACCCTTCCCGAGACTCTCGCTGACATTAAAAGTTCAGTTACGTTATTGTATTAATTATCCACATCCAGGTGCAGGAATATTAACCTGCTTTCTTTTTGATCGGAGGACAAATAAACAATCACATTAAAATGGAACTACCCTATCGAATAACCATGCCCAAATGCTGTCCACATGGAATCTTTCCCACTTTAATCTTCAAAGTTCTCATTTGAATATTTGCTACTATCACCAATATTTGCACTGAGGACCGTTCCATCAAGGCTATGCCATGACTTCTTCACGAAATCCTCATGCCTGCCTACTCGTCAGAGCATCAATACAACTCTGACAGTGAGGTATGGGTATCACGCTCAGGCACCATCCATTTTCAGGGCTAGTTCATTCGGCAAGTGAGTTGTTACACGATTCTTAGTGGATTCCAACTTCCATGGTCACCATCTTGCTGTCTAGATGAACTAACATCGTTTTAGTATCTAAATGAACATGAATTTCGGTACTTTAACCTCACGTTCAGTTCATCCTGCATCATCATTCTGCTTATCAAAAATGACACACTAGAAATTCTCATTTGAATACTCAGGGTTAAAGATCAAGTAACCTGAAGCTTCTTACATATTTAAGGTTTGAGAATAAGTTAATGCTGTTTTAACCCTAAGGCCTCCAATCATTCGCTTTACCTCATAAGACTGTTTAACAAGTTTATACTATCCTAAGAGAAACTCTGATAGAAACCATCTACTAGATACACATGTCAGAACCATTATGAGCTTTTTTCTGGCTTATCCTATTCAAGCTAGCTCACCATCTTTAGGATATGCTCGTACTCAAATCTATCCTGTTTGGCCAATAGAGCTTCAATAATTAATAAATACTGTATATGCGTGAAAACTTACTGTCTACAAAATAGTAATTGATATAAAAAGTAAATTCATTCTTTTAAATTCGTTCAATAAACAAATAATGAA